TGTGACTATCTGAACCCACTAAGAAGCTTTTCAATTACATGTATGTTACATAAAAAGTATTTTTTATTACGAGATTACAGCCATGTTTTAAAGAGCAACATGCAGGTTGAATTTATTTCTGAATTAATACTTTAAATTGTCTGCAGAGGTCTTTTAAAAAACACACATGTAGAAATTATTAATGAACTCTCATTTGATGTAGAGATTTTGATGAAAATGCGCTAGGCTCTGGAATGCGCCTTTCCCGCTAGCAACGCGTCATGTGACGTAGGCCGAGGCAAACAAATGAGCTCGCGGTCCACTTTCTCATTGTTGGGTGTTGATTTAGTTAGAGCAGTAGTGAGAGACAGAAAGTTTTAGATCGAGTTTTAGAGAAGCCATAATGGTAAATTATTGTGTTTGTGCTGGTTGCACGAATTCCAGCCTGTCAGGACATCGTGTCCATCATTTTCCTTCTAGGGTGTGTTTTGTGCAGGTGAAGAGAGCAGACTTCACTGCCGCGTCTGTTACCACACACTCGGTCGTTTGTGGCGCACTTTTCACTCGCTTTAAATGGTATCACTAACTGCAGTTGAAAAGCATTATTTATTTGTTATGGCATGGTCATTAGTCAATGTAGATACTGCTAACCAGCTTGGATGGACTGCATAATCACTGTCAGTGTAGAATATGAGAAGACAAAACGTTGCTTAATTTAAGACAATCTAAATGGATGTTTAATCAAGAACAAAGTCGAACGTATGTTTGCTAAAGCAGATTTATTACAAAACACCAGGGTACTAGCCATACAGTAGATGAACCAGCGTTAGCCACGGTGCTAACTTACATGAACTCACCAAGTCACTTGCCATATTCGCCACTGGTTTTCTTGACATCACAACTCTAACGTTACTTCTCTCCTCTGCCCATTGTTCCTCCCCCGATCTCCCCCGGACTTCTATCTCGCCTTGGAGGCTCATAATTTCTCATAGTTTCGTCATTCGCATCCATTGTAACCTGAGCTTGAACTTGAACAGACTCCCTCGCCGATCGTCACTTGCGGTTAGTTCTTCGTAAACGCGGGAGTTATTTTATCACAATTTTTCTCAAAATATCGTTACTGGCTAAATATATATTACTCCAGTTCAGAAAACCTAGTTGTTTTATCGTCAACATACACTATGCTATATAGGGGTGTCCAACCTGCATGTTGCTCTTTCAGCAAGTTTTGATCCATTCAGAATGAATGAGAATGTCTTTTAAATTCCAGTTAAGTTCCTGATTTTTGTTTGCATCATACCGATGCACAAAAGTCACTTGAGTTTGAAAATGAAAGAAATTCATGTAACTATTGTAAATATAGTTTTTAAAAAAATATATTATATTTTTCTGCATGAATTATGCATGAACATGTTAATATATGGCTTATTTCCATAAACATTAGATGATATTAATAATAAAAGTTATTATAGTAATAATCTGCTATTAATTTATAGATATTTCATTACATTTATTTAATTAAAAGTTTATAAGATCTTAATCAACTTTAAAATAAAAAGGTCATAATTAAACTTTTAGTAACACTTTCTAACAATATTTATAACCACGGATAATGCATTTATTAATCTTAGTTAATTTAAATTTCTACTTGCACTATTATATTATCATTTTAACATTTTTTTTTTCATTTAAAGTCCCCCACACACACTTTGCTTTTTGTCCACTTTCCACTATACATTCTAACAGTGGTGTAACAAGCCAACACCGGGCCCTTATGCAGGATTATCAAGGCGGGCCCCCCTACAGCACGTGATGAGGCAGTGTTCACGAGTACGCTACTATGAATAGAACAGGATAGGATCATAGAGACACAGCATTAAAGACTGGCAAAATCAGGAGTAGCCTATGTGCACCACAAAAAAACTGGTGATTGCACACCATAACACATAAAAAACACTGCTGGTGACGGCACACCACCACATTGTTACTCACTGCTATGACTACATACACATAGGACGTTTTTACTGTTTTGCAAGTAACACGCATGTTCACTTAGCATATCCGGGATTCAAATTGGGAGCCGGGGATTCCCAACAGCGTACCCTGCTTACTGATAGTTACGCCTGTGCATTCTAAAAGTGACTCTAACTGGTTTAAAGGAGAACTCCAGCGCAAAATGTACCTTTGGTCTAATAAAACATTGGTACCTAGTCAACCGTTCTCTGAGATTTGTTTTCATGATAATCAAATGTAAAGAGTTTAATCTCTAAAATCTTTTTAGCGTATAATGCTAGTAATGGGAGCATTGACTAAGTAAAAAGAAATTGCTAGTTTATACCACTAACAAGACTCAAAATAGCCCTACACTTAAACAGTAACATAATGAGGGTCCATACATGCAAAACGAAGCATTGAGAACTTTGTAAGTGTACAGACCGTTTAATAAGAAGAAACTTTACACAAACAGGGATTTGAGGACCCACTCCCTCTTAACATTAATGCAGGCACACTAGGGAAAATAAAGAAAATTAGCAACATGTACCAATATCAACTAATCATAAGTCCCACAAATCATAAGTGAGAAACAAATGATTAATTTATCTAGAAAAACTATTTTCACAGTTATCGTACCCATGTAAGTGGCACAAGAAGTTTCCTTATCCTTTGTCCCTGAGCTCCACCTCTCTTGGCAAAGATCCTCAGAAGACTTGGATTGAGTTCATCCAGCTTTGAGAAGAATTTTGAATTTAAGGCAACAGTTGTTACACGTGCAAATTCAGCACAAACCTAAAACACAAAGAGAAAAGGGGCAATACTGGACGCTTGGAGCAATGTTTTAGTTAAAGGAGAACTCCGGCACAAAATTAACCTTTGGTCCAATAAAACATTGGTACCTAGAGATTTGTTTTCATGATAATCGATTGTAAAGAGTTTTATCTCTAAAAACTGTTTAGCGTATAATGATAGTAATGGGGGCATTGACTAAGTAAAAAGAAATCGCTAGTTTATACCACTAACAAGGCTCAAAATAGCCCCACACTAACACAGTAACATAATGAGGGTCCATACATGCAAAACGAAGCATTGAGAACTTTGTAAGTGTAGAGACCGTTTAATAAGAAGATATTTTATAAAGACAGTTCACTTCATGTATACAGACAGACAGGAGCCATCTTGGGAAAACAGTCACAAAAGTCGAACCACGAACGACATGCCAAGTGAGCTGAACTGTATGAAGTTGAGCGAACTTTGAACTGTATGAATGGCATTATACACTAAACAGTTTTTAGAGATAAAACTCTTTACATTCGATTATCATGAAAACAAATCTCAGAGAACGGTTGACTAGGTACCAATGTTTTATTGGACCAAAGGTTCATTTAGCGCCGGAGTTCTCCTTTAACTCTTTCCCCGCCAAACACGGAATTTTCCGGGTTTAATGAAAAAACGCATCACCGCCAAACACGGAATTTTCCGGGTATCCGTGTTTTAGGTGGTATACGGTAAGGAAGACCCGCGCGCATGTCCTGAATGAGTGCGCAACTCTCTGATCAGATAAACAGATTGCAATCGTCTCAAACAGTGGAGTAGTGCGAATGTATCAGACAGGCAATGCAGAGGTATATGGCTGAAGTACTGGAGGTTAATGGACTTGGAGTCCGATCACTCTTTATTTGATAATTCTGAATCTGATCGGGACGAAGTAGTCAGTGAGAGAGATGCACATGTTGTCAACTTGTCACAGAAAGTTCTAGCCATGGACGTGCCGCAGATAGATCGTATAATACTTGTATTATGACACTATAATATTTATGTGTGTGTGCAGGCATTTATGTGTGGCTGTCTAAATATGAAGGTGTAATTGTCAAATTATTTCTCTCTTTGTGCACATTTACCACATTGTAATATGTATTTGTGTGTGTGTGTGTGTGTGTGTGTGTCTAGGCCTTTTTATTGTAATTCCAATTATTCATTATTCACAGGTAGAACACAGAGAGGCAGAGGCAGAAGTTTTATTGCAAAAGTTACATTTCCCTTACATCCTGGGAAATTTGATATATTTTACATTTATTTATGTTTTTAATTTATTTTGGAAAGTTTTATATATGAAGGAAACAACATCTGAATGTATTCTGCTTTTAAATGCACTTGTTTGATAAAAATACCTTTTTCTCAGTTTTTTGTCCAAAATGTTGTGTTTTTGACAAAACCTACCTCTGTTCAAGAGGCAATAAAAAAAGAACAGATGAAGATAAAATAAAAACGTTTTTTTTTTTTTTGCCTAAAAGCAGAGGCTCAGATCTTTATTTTTATATATATCATCTTCATATATTCATGGAAGAAAATATTCAGCGGGGCATTAAAATTTAGCGAAAATCGTCAAAAACCCTGGCGGTGGCTGGCAACTTTTTTTTTAAACGCTGGCGGGGAAAGAGTTAATGGGATTCTTTGTGGTTGTTGAATTTCTTTGAATGGCTTTTCATTAAAATCCTCTATTCAATTTAAATTTCCAACTCTTTAAAGTTTGTATTATGTTAATTATTATAAAGGGTATTGTTAAATCATCAGTTTTGTCCAACCTTGTAAAATACATGTATTTATTATATATTTGATGTATTTATTACAATGCATTTTAAAACATGCATTCTAATGTATTAGAACCTGCCACCAGGTTTGTGGGATATTATGTGAGTTCTATTATTTATCCACCTAAATAATCCTATTATTTAGTTATCTGGTTATCTCTGTCTTTTCTCATGCTCAGAGATGCTATGATATTGTCAACAAATCTCAGCAAAACGAATAGTAGAATTGAACTGAACTGACCTGAAAAAGGCTACTACTAGTACATTATATTCTGTAGATCTGCTTTTTGGTTAAAATAGATGTTGTATAACTGAAATTTTTGTATTTTGTTTGAACAATTTTGTGAATCCAGTGCTGTTTACTATATATTTACTTTTACTATAAATAAACTTGACTTGACTACTAGGAGTAAAGGCTGTCCGTGTGTGTTTCAGTCTGGCGAACAGGAAGTGGTCTATCTTTTCATCCCCACTCCAGCAGTAGGAGCTCTCATCGGGAAGAAAGGGCAGCACATTAAAGAGCTGGCACACTTCGCTGGAGCCTCAATAAAAGTGAGAGACTTTGAGACACATGCTGATCCCACTACAGTTGCGAACAGTAACCAGTTTAGCATGAGACTCAAATGAAAGAATAAAGTGGACCAGATTGCGTTCTAAGGCTTGTTATTCCGGACTAAGAAAATCTACAAACTTGGACCAAAATCAAAATTATAGTTAGTGTGTTTAAATTAGATTAGAACTAAATGTGCAGGTAAAAATTGAGGGAATATTGGTGGCAATGAAGTACTTGGACTGACCAATTTTAAAACTTTCGCTTGTTTAGACCATAATATTTGGTATTTGGTGCCACTTCAGCTACTGGAGAAGGGCTAGTAAACCAAATTTGAAATTTATGGCAGGGAAATAGTTAATACTTGTATCATCCAGAGTGGACACGTGTAAATTTGCTGGAGATAATCAGTTGTACAACAAAAACGCAAAGCAATTATACAACACATTATTTAATGGCTGAATATATATTATTTCAGAGACTAGCTATCGGTTATCTTAATGGGCTTCTGGTAATCACATTACCTCACTCTTAAATAGGTAGTTTATTTCTATAGTATCAAGGTATCACTGACACTTGTAGTGGTTTGAGTTGTCCTTTATACTCAAATGCTTAAATCAAGACAGTGGAAAAAGGAAAGTGCTGTTATGTGTCTCTGCAGATTGCTGCACCAGACTGTCCTGATGAGCCGGAGAGGATGGTCATCATCACCGGACCACCAGAGGCTCAGTTCAAGGTAAAAGCCATAATAACAAATGTCGTTTATGCTCCTGTTTTCCAGGATACAGATTTCACCAGGGTGTCTTACATCAATCTCTATTCATCCCTCATTTCTCCTTTACTCTTCTGTGTTTGTGTAGGCACAGGGGAGGATATATGGGAAGTTGAAAGAGGAGAATTTTTTCACAGCTAAGGAAGAGTTGAAGTTGGAGGCACATATAAAAGTACCTTCATCCGCCGCCGGACGAGTCATCGGGAAAGGTGGAAAAACGGTATGAATGATTTGTGAACACGTGCGTTTATGCATGGTTTTCCAATGGTGATCCAATCACAAGTCAAGTGAGACAGATTGCTATTTACACCTGGTAGTAACATACATCTGTCACCACTTGTGATCAGTGAATATACTGTATATTATACATATATTCAGAATATCGCAGAATATGTTACTGCATGTTGATCAAAGTAAAAACGTATTTCTCAATCTTGCCACAAACAGATTTAACAATGTCACATATGCTCATTAAAGTAATCGCTCAGTTGTCGCTCTTCGATAACATCATTGCCCATCCTTAGTTTTAACCTGTGAAACTCTTGTGATTTCAATGTTAAAGGGATAGTTCACCCAAAAATGAAAATTAAGTCATTAATTATTCACCCCCATGCTGTTCGTCTTCGGAAAACAAATGAAGATATTGTTGATTAAATTTGAGAGGTGGATCACTGCTCATAAAGGATTGAAACTTGACGGCCCGGAAAGTCATCGAAGAAAATGTTTAAATATTCCATGTGACTACAGTGGCTCAACTATAAGTTTATCAAGCAACGAGAATACTTTTTGTGAGAAAAAACAAACAAAAATAACTACTCCTCTCCTGGAAATCTCTTGAACTCTCGTCTCAGGCCCAGAATGAAGAAAAGGAATAGTCGAATGAAGTTGTTATTTTTGTTTTATTTCCGCACAAAAAGTATTCTCGTCACTTGATAAACTTATAGTTGAGCCACTGTAGTCACATGGAATATTTAAACATCTTCAATGACTTTCTGGGCCGTCAAGTTTCAATCCTTTAGGAGCCTATGTAGCAGTGATCCACCTCTCAAATTTAATCAAAACTATCTTTATTGGTGTTCCGAAGATGAACAAAGGTCTTACGGGGTTGATATAGCATGGGGGTGAGTAATTAATGACTTAATTTTCATTTTTGGGTGAACTAACCCTTTAATATCAGGTCTAAATGGGGCCTGTTTGTCTAACCTCTGACCTCTTACCACCCACAGGTCAATGAGCTACAGAATCTCACCAGTGCTGAGGTCATTGTACCACGGGACCAGGCTCCAGATGAGAACGATGAAGTGTTTGTTAAAATTATTGGACATTTCTTTGCCAGTCAGGTATGTTTTTTGACATTACTCCAGGCTTTAAACTGGTTACACTTTTATTTGAGTCTAAAACACCAGTGTCAAACCAAGTCAAGTTTATTGTTTTTGAGTGCAGACCGTTTAATAAGAAGATACTTTATAAAGACAGTTCACTTCGTGTAACAGTCTCGATAAATCGAACCACGAATGACGTGCCCAGTGAGCTGAACTGTATGAAGTTCGACATCGAGACTGTTTTCCAAGATGGCTTCTGCCTGTATACACGAAGTGAAGTGTCTTTATAACGTATCTTCTTATTAAACGGTCTGTACACTTAAAAAGTTTTCGATAATAACTCATAATGTTACTGTGTTAGTGTGGGGCTATTTTGAGCCTTGTTAGTGGTATAAACTAGCGATTTGTTTTTACTTATTAAAGGGTTAGTTCACCCAAAAATGAAAATTAAGTCATTAATTACTCACCCCCATGCTGTACCAACCCCGTAAGACCTTCGTTCATCTTTGGAACACAAATAAAGATATTTTTGATTGAATCTGAGGGCTGGATCACTCTTCCATAGACTGCATAAGGGACTGGCTCTTGACGGCCCATAAAGTCATTAAAGAAAAGGTTTAAATATTCCATGTGCCTACAGCGGCTCAATTATACATTTATCAAGCGACGAGAATACTTTTTGTGCGAAAAAAACATAAATAACGACTTTATTCCACTATTCCATTACTTCCTTATGGGCGCATGCGCGAGAACTGAGACGAGGACGTTCTCATTCGTCTACTTCTTGTTACCGGCTGCTCACCGCTTAGGAGTTTTACCGCCCCCTACCGTATAAGATGATGTGCTGATATAGCTGGAAGCGCAAAACTTTCTGTTTACAAGCAGAGGAAGATGCGCGCTGTACATACGCTTTTCAATTAGCGTATTTTCCGCACTATAAGGTGCACTTAAAAGCCTTTAATCTTCTCAAAAAACGACAGTGTTCCTTATAATCCAGAGCGCCTTATATATGGATCCTCATTTTATACGGTAGGTGGCGGTAAAACTCCTAAGCGGTGAGCAGCCGGTAACAAGAAGTAGACGAATGAGAACGTCCTCGTCTCAGTTCTCGCGCATGCGCCCATAAGGAAGTAATGGAATAGTGGAATAAAGTCGTTATTTATGTTTTTTTCGCACAAAAAGTAGTCTCGTCGGTTGATAAACTTATAATTGAGCCGCTGTAGGCACATGGAATATTTAAACCTTTTCTTTAATGACTTTATGGGCCGTCAAGAGCCAGTCCCTTAGGAAGCCTATGGAAGAGTGATCCAGCCCTCAGATTCAATCAAAAATATCTTTATTTGTGTTCCGAAGATGAACGATAGTCTTACGGGGTTGGAACAGCATGGGGGTGAGTAATTAATTACTTAATTTTCATTTTTGGGTGAACTAACCCTTTAAATGCCTCCATTACTAGCGTTATTTGCCTAACAGTTTTTACAGATAAAACTCTTTATATTCGATTATCATGAAAACAAATCTCAGAGAACGGTTGACTAAGAACGATGTTTTATTAGACCAAAGGTTCATTTTGCGCCGGAGTTCTCCTTTAATCTAGCAATCGAGTACAACTATTGGCTGGACCTAGATAATTACAAAGCATTATCAATGTGACAATTATTATTCCTGAGATTCCTTAATTCATCACCACCTTATTTTTCAATCTCGATATCAACTTGTTACCAAACTACGGGTACTTTTGACTACGGGTACCCTCTTTTAGACAATTTTTTTTATAGATTTTGCTAGTAGGCATGGCTAGGAGTATAGAAATTATGCTATTTTGCATAATTTGTATATTTTTCATACAGGTTCTTAAAATATTAGTTGATGTAAATGTATTTGCATGTGCACTCCAGTCACCTTTGGCTACTGTGTGTTTGTTTTCAGACGGCCCAGCGCAAGATCAGAGAGATCGTACAACAAGTCAAACAGCAAGAGCGGAAACACCAGCAAATGGTGCCAACATCCTCACAACCATCAAAATGATCAGCAGATGCCAGCAAGCAGCAGATAATGAATGTAGCTCATGCGAGGACAAATCGAAATCAACAAAAGAAGGAACGAATTAAAGAGGTAGACAAAGGGAGAGTGAGACCGAGCGAGAAACAGTGAGAGACAGAAGCTGATGAAGAGGACCAGCAGTAAAAAAAAAAAAAAACAACCAAAGAACTTAAAGCACAAAAACATTTGGTCGTGTGGATATGAATGAACCTGAAAGGTGATCAAGAGTGTTATCAGGTCAGAGAGATCTTTTTATGAGATGGACCTGATCATCCTTTGAGCTCTTTTTATTACTGATTATGCTGATGTGAGACTAAATCCCAGACAGCTACATAGTGTCGGCCCAGATCCGGCCCATATCTGGAACGGGTGGAATCCACATGTACCAGAAGTGGCCCGGAACTGGGCCGGCACTATATTGCTGTCCAGGGAGGATTTGTGTACTGTGATGGAGAGTGCTAGATGAGGTGAAGGCACACTGCAGGTAGATTTCTTGCAGGTCTAGTTGTTCCATTAGGTCTACTAATTTATTGAAAGATATAGGAAAATAGCACAGCAGTATGTTAATAAAATTCTAACAAAAAAAACAAAAAATGATATAGGTTTATTCAACAGAATTTTCTTTTGGAAATTAATTTCAGGCTAGTTTATCTGAGTAATCAGATTTGTTTCTCGACTTTTTTTCTAGTTACTAGTTAGTACAGCTCGGTAATTAAAACCATTAAGTGATGTTACAAAGGAGCGTACATGATTTAAGGAGATAGATAACTTGTGCGCCAGCATTTCACTTCCAGTTCCTCAATTTTATACTGCTGAGTCTGAGCGTTCTCCTCTGCTTGCTGCCCTGTTCTCTTTTCTCTTTTTTTATTCTATTTCTTTTTCTTAAATGTTTCCCTATTGCCATCTTATTCCTCACACAGTATGAGATCTGTCTGTGTGCCAACTGTGCATAAAATAACTACAGTCCCAAAACAGAAGAAAATTGAGATCGTCTTACTTTGGGAATTTAATGTTGACATATCCTGTACTCCCCACTTAAGATATTACACACACTCTTACTATTAACACATGCTAGCATTCAAAAGTTTGGGGTCAGTAATATTTATTGGTAACACTTTACAATGTTTCATTAGTTAACATTAGTTGATGTATTTACTAACATGAACTAACAATGAGCAAAACATTTGTTACAGTAATAGTCAATCTTTGCTATCGTTAGTTAATAAAAATCCAGCTGCTCATTGTGTGTTCATGGTAGTTCACAGTGCATTAACTAATGTTAACAAGCACAACGTTTGATTGTAATAATGTGTTAGTAAATGTTGAAATTAATATTAAATAAGATTAACAAATGCTGTAGAAGTATTGTTCATATTGTATAATGTTGTATACATTATACAATATGAGTTGTATAATGTTAACTATTGAACCTTATTGTAAAGTTTTAAGGAAATTGAACTTTTTATTCAGCAAAAATCCTTCAAAAAGGTGACTGTGAATACATATATAATGTTTATTTGATATTTATATTTCAAATAAATGCTGTTCTTTTCAACTTTTCAGTGCATAGAAAATGCACTTATTTTTATTTCCACAAAAATAAGCAGCACGACTGCTTTCCACATATAATAATAATAATAATAATAATAAATGTTGAAGCACCTAATCAGCATATTATAATGATTTCTGAAGGTTCTTGTGACACTGAAGACTGGAGTGATGGCGACTGAAATTTCACAGCCCTCACATTAATTAATTACATTTAAGTAGGAAAAAATATATATATAATATGACTGTTTTACTCTATTTTTGACCAAATAAATGCAGCCTTGGTGAGCATAATTGGCTTTTTCAAAAACATTTAAAGAAAAAAAAAAACTTTACTGACCCTAAACCTTTAAAACAGAAAAAGCTGAATTTCATGTGCAATCAGCACTGTGTCTGTTGGTCCTGTGACAGGAGCCTATGGGAGCCCTTTTAGGTCTTCCTGACACATGAATCTATATGATGTGAATGCCTTCTGCAAACATGTACTTTCTGGGTAGCCAGCATGATTCTCTATTCCCCCTCTGATTTCTTGTGCTGAGATGCACGGTATCTTTGCATTAGGCATTGTGTGCACAGACAAAGAAGACAGAAATGTCTGTAGTGCGTTTTTGACAAAAGACGAGGCAAAAGTGATGTGTTCTTTTTTATTATTTGAAAAGACATTTCCCCATTTTTTTGTCACTTATAAAAGTGATTTGACTGGTAAAGAATAAAACTTACATCAAGTCTTTTAATGTTGCACATTAGAAACGGCTGATGGAATGAAGTAAAAAAATATTGGTTTTAGTATTTCTTAAGCAAATGCAAATAGGCAGCATTTCAGTACTGTACCGTCTAAGCAATCATTGACCGTAACTTTGATATTAAGCAAACCATGATTGAGACATGAAAATGATATATTGAAAGTCCACACAGCTTTGTGTGAACCTGTACAATATAACGTTCTACCTCAAGAACAGGGTACCTCAGTCTTTTCTCCCTTTTGCATATTTTGTATACCTTATAAAGCTCTCACACTTGGAGCTTTTTTTTATTTTTCTAAAAAAGAATTAGCACAAGGCACCAACATAACCTGCTTGTTCTTGTGAAAGAGGTTTCAGACCCCTGCATCAGAAACTGATCGTTGATTTATGGACCGTTTGGCTCAAATGGACTTGAGGTTTCTTAGACAACTGAACATTTAGGTTGACAGTACTTTGTCTCTTGCGGTTTATGTTTGTACAGAAATAATCCTCTTGACAGATGTAAATAATGTCTAAGAATACAGCTTAATCATAGTGTTCTTCAACCAGTATAGGCACATTTAGAAGCAAGACACGGTGTCTTTGTTACTCTGTTGCAAATGGCTCTGTCGTTTTATTATCTGTGTTTTTGGGCAGTGGATGTCATATCTAACACATCAGTTTTGAATTTGATTCTAACACCATATTTGTGTGAGGTTTAGTATAGGGATAATCTACAGTTTACTGCTGAATGTTAGTGTAATAATAATATGATTAGACGCAATTGAATTTGATCCTCTCAAATTGTGTTTCTGTAGTAAAATTTGCTGCGTCAAACTGGAGGGATGTTCAGCTGTCTCAAGACCATCTCTTCTCATATCATTTACAAAGAAAACGTGTACATGAAACATAATCTTTGCCGTAAAACTTCTGCAGCTGTCTTTCTTTTCATGCTCTACCATGTTCAAAATGTCTTTATAAACCACTTGTACCGTATATACTTTTAGGTGTTTGATAAGGCTTTTAATGCTGATCTGAGATTAACTCTTATAATGACATCATGTAATGTAAATGATGTAGATAATAAAACTAATTTCAGATCGGGGCGGGGGACAATAAGACTATGTGAGTGAACACACATCAATACACTTTTATGTTTCCTGGAAGGAGACCAGGAACCCTCCTCGATGATTTGAGGAATAAAGAGTCTTGAAAAAGAAAAAGATAATGCGTTTCTTCATCTTTATATTAAGATTATTTGTGTCATTGATGGCTCAAAGATTCTGATTGTTAAAGCAAAACCCAGATGTCTATGCATTGCAACATGATAGAATATCAAAGTATTCTTGTCCAGCAGTTATATCTTTTTTTTTTTTTTTTTAAATAAGCCCACATGGAATATGCATGTGTAGAATTCTGTAGAAATATTTTGAAAATTAAAAAAGTCTGGACCTGGACCAGGTTACAATGAGGTTAACATTTCATATCAATGATTTTTATTGAATTCAAATGGTTTTGAACTTATTCAAGCAGTTATAACTTGGTTATAACAGAAGTTATACCTTTTAAGCTAGCGACAGCTTTTATTATAAAACATAAAACCTTCAAAACTCAAAACAAGTACACATTAAGACATTTATTTATTTTTCCAACCAAAGTTGACTCTGAAAACAAAGCTTCTGTAATGCAGTGATTAAACAAGTAGCACCAGTAGTAGACCTTTGTGAAATTGCATATTGCAATGGAAATTCTTTTTTTTTTTTTTCAATATAATCAAATAATAATATCATATCCTCCATAGAAACAACTATCAAACTTAAAGGTTGACGTGCTGATAATGAAAAATTAGTAGTGTGCGTTTTTTTTTTTTTTTAGCTACTGTATGCAAGCACAGATAGATGACAAAATAATATAGCCAATAAAACCGTAAGCAGTCTGTACAATCCCTGAATGTACTGTGCAACTCCAGTAGATTTACCCATCTGGTAAAGATCAGTGCACAAGTCAATATTTGTTAAGGCACTAAGTTGTAAATAAAAGTACATCATGCTTGTAGGGTGCTCTAGTCTAGGTTAATGTATAGTAAATATTGTAAAACAATAAATAAAATAAAAAATAAGGTTTTTAATAGCCTTAAGACACACTCTTTCCGCCTTAAAAACCCTGAAAAAAACGACTCGGGTTACATACAGTACGAGTAAACCTGGAACATAACGTGTATGTCTAATACTCAAAAAAATAGATATTGTGAGTGTTCATGTTATGAACCCAGTATGGGTCATATTTGTGGGTTGTGTTTTTCTTTCTCAAGCATAACATTCACATAATTTAAGGGGAGTAACTAATCTTTAGTTTTCTTTTGTTAAATGTGTAAACATACTCAAAACGCATGACACTAAGATATTTAGACTCTAGAAACAAACATAGTCGCTAAACAACACCTGACAATATAACTAAATCTTATAAAAAACTTAAAGCTGTCAAATTTCTATAAAATGAGGCAATGTCCAGTGGCCTGTATGTAGCAAATCAGCAATCTGAGTGTGTACTCTTTTAAGACATTAATAGTCTCTTCTTTGGCGCTTTTATTTCCATTAAAAATCTAATAACCTGTCTCATAATCTGTCCATTTCAGTTCTACTTTCCATTGGGACCTTCATAACCCAATCCACAGGTGTAACTCCACAGCGATGATCTATCCCAAATTGATCTGTCTCCTCCTGTGTCTTTCTTTGGGTCATTTAGTCTTGCGATCATTCAAGGCCTTTTGGTGTCCGTTGGGTTCCAGGCCGTCAAGTTTGAAATGGGCCTGACTGTAGCGGCGGATTAGAGCTCCAGGAAGAAGAGCCACACATGCGATCAGCAGGAGCTGCAGCAAGGTGCCCCACGAAAAGATGTCATCCAAAGACTGGATCTCAGACAAGATGGCTCCCGTACGGACACAGATGAAGTTATAAGGGATTAGACCTGGGAGGAAATTAAGCATTTAAAGGTTATGAGATCAAGATCAGAAGATGTACTTTTACTTCATAATCAGAGTCTGAAGAATTATACATGAATTTATAACAGTAGATACAATGTAAGCTCACCAATGAGGATGGAGAAGAAGAATATGGGGATGGGGATGTTGAGGATTGGAGAGGTGATGTTCAAGAACCAGTTAGGTGTCATGGGAAAGAACCGCAGAAAGAGCAAGAAGAAGAACAAACTGCTCCTGTTCTCTTCCACCTAGTAGAAAGAAATGGAGATTCAACATGTGCTCATGTATTGTTTCAACTTCAAATTTCTATAGAGAGCTGATGAATACATGACTGTGATAGTTTAGTAGGAAAGATACATAAAAACCCTCCAAAGTCCAAAATCTTATATCTTATATTAATATTTGTTTCCAGTGACATACATACTGTACATTGCACTCAATGTATTCCTTGCAAAAAAAGGTATACTTCACCTTCATTTTATTAAGTAACATAAGTTCATAACAAGTATATTTTCCAAGTATTCTCTATGTACCGGGTATACTAAAATCAATGTACTTGCAGTATACTTGCAAGTGAACTATTTCAATATTTCATTAAACTGGCTTAATTTTTATTTTAGAAATGTATACTTTTAAGCATACTTTAAGAATAACAGATCAGAGTCAAGTGATATTTAAGTATACACCTAGTTTACAAGTTTTCTTTTTTATTGTAACCAAACTAGTACTGTGCTACAATGTGATAATGTTAGTTTGCTAGGTATATACTTATTGCCCACTTTGTAGTTTATAAAAGTACTTTGAAGAATACTCTCTCAGTAAACTATTAGATTAATAGTTTTATACAAGTATTTAATAAGCTATAAAAGGATACACACAACCCTCTCTTCTCTCTTGACATGCATTGTCATGAATGAAAATGCTTGGGTAGTTCACATTAGTCCCTGTTGATTAATTTCATTTTTCCTAAAGGGAAAGGTTAGAAGGTTGTTGGTGTGGTCTAGTTGTCTTCCTTTGTGAAGTTGAGCCCTCCACTGATCCCGATTCCATGATGCTATGGTCCAGGATTCAGGATGTAGGCCAAAGTCTACAAGATCTTGTTTGAGTTGTATTGACTTTGGCATACATCCTGGCTTTAGTTAGGATAGGCAGGTGCTTATTCCGCCAAGCTCATGCTTTACCAAGTCTGGTACCCAATTTGAGATTAAGTGTTGCATATTGAGTCATTGTAGAACCCAAATAGGTGAACAACTCAACTTTTTCAAAAGGGGGCCTCATTGACTGTGAATATATGAGACTCAAGGGCCTGTGACATTGTACCAGTCTTTTACAGAATAATAATGAGTCCAAATTTCTCCAAATAAGTCCAAAAACATGATTCTGCAAATCGATCGTGTTGGGCAAACACAACTATGCCAAGTATACTTAGAATAGTTTGTTAAACTTTTCTTAAATATATCTCAATCAAAAGATTAAGAACAAGATTAGGCCAAATATATTTCGAATTTGTCAGTATAGTATACTTATCAGTATAAGCCAAGTTTACTGTAATATACATCTGAAAAGACTGAAAGTATATGCACATATTTTTGTTTAGAAGTTTGGGTCCCACTTGTATTTAGTGGCTTTACGTACTATGTACTTACATTGAACAATAAGTACAATGTATTATTGTGTTCCTGTTGTATTGTAAAACACTTTTGCTGCTATTGAGGTGTGATACGGGTAAGGTTAGGGACAGGTGTGGTGGTATAGGTCGGTTTAAGGGTAGGTTAAAGGAGCAATGTGTGACTTTTAGCGACATCTAGTGGTTCGGTTGCGAGTCTGCACCAGGTTTGCACTAAGGGCTCAGCCCACTGCTCACCCCTCCCTTTCGAAGAAGCTACGGTTGCTAAAACGGGACAAACATCTCGTCGGCTGAGACAGCAGAGAATAGCCAGAGTAAGCCAAGAGTGTGTAACATTGTCACTGTTTCTGTACCACAGTCCATTATAAACCACATCATGAATACTGTCTGTTTACAAAGCCATAGTCAGGTGAGGATCAAGGGTTTTAATATATAATTTAATAAAATAATAATCAGCTGATTGTCTCACAAACGTAACCAGCAGCACATTTCTCCCCACATACTGTAGCAAACCCATAATACAGCGAGGGAGCAGCTATATATTTTTTCTAACAGGGTAGTAATAGTTTAGCTGGCTAATATGAGCTGTTACTGTGGCTGAGCTGGGACGCGTCCGCATGAGTCCAAAGGTCGGAAGTGCGCGCGCTGTTACAATCATGTCATCTCCGCATCCCATAGATACTATTTACTACACACAATAGGCTTTTTTTCTCTGATTTTTAAAATTCTTCGCGATCGACTTTAGTGATAAAAGACTTTAGTAAAAGTCTCTATCGACGGGTTAGTGATTCCTGTAACGTACTGTTTTACGGTCAATGACATGAATACTAATCATCAGCTGTCTCACGAACGTAACAGCACATCTATCCCCAACATAGCAAACCCATAACACAGCGAGGGAGAACTAAGTTACATGAAACAATCCCAACTACATATTTTACACCACTCAGTCACAAGGGAAAAGTCACTACTCACGGAGTGTAAGGCTAGCTTCCAGCTTTCCGCTACTTCTCTTTCAAGGTAGTGATGAAACGCGTTCTGTAGCGCTGTTTGTTCGCGTTCGGCTACGGTAGGAATATGACGTCACAACATGGCGACCTTCATAGAAGGGGATTCCCTCGGTTATGGAGCTATTAATGTCTCATTCTAAGGTAATAAAAACATTACGGCTAATTAAGTAAGTTCTTTATACACCACTGAAAACATAGTTATGGATGTCATATTGCATTTCTGTTAATAGATACTCAACTTTGTTACACATTGCACCTTTAAGGTGTGAGGGGAGGGTCAACTGTGTAAATACAAATGTAATTACATGCTGGTATTTTAAAATATAAGTACAATGTAAAAACATGTATGTACACGTTTGTAAAATGTATGTAAACATGAAGTAGCAATTTTAACAAATACATATAGGCTAATGTTAAAAGTGAAAATATAAGGGAATTAATTGTTAATTGATAAATAATTATTAGATAATTCTTCAGGAATTACTTAGAACCTGAAACAGTATTCTAGAGTTCCTTAGTAGTTAACAGTAGTGACTGCATAAATAATAAAGAATTACTGAAGAACTAATAGGCAATTCGTTATTAACACTTAAGTCACTACTATTAACTACTAAGGAAGATGTGTTAACTACTAAGTATGTAATGGAATTTTGCGAACTAATCAGGAGGTATGACAGAATTAATTAGTTATTGATTAACTAACTGATACTTAACACTATTATACAGTACAATACAATTCAATTGCATACTGATTAGTTAACACATCTTCCTTAGTAGTTAACAGAACTGACTTAAGTGTTAATAAAGAATTACCTATTAGTTCTTCAGTAATTCCTTATTAGTTAGGCAGTAAGTAAGAAACAGTATTCTAAAGTGTTACCGCTAACGCTGTGTGCTATTGTTTGAGCTATATCACATGCAAAGTATAAAACAAAATGCAGTCACAAATACACTCGCTGACTATTTTTAGTATATTAATTAAAGCGATACTCCACTTTTTTTTTTTTACTACACTCGCTCAACTCCCCCAGAGTTAAAGGAGCAAAACGCAAGTATCTGAGTTTTTGCAGAACTACGCGCCCCTATAACCTGCAGTTATAAATCTGCAGGTCATTAAAAATAAATGAAAGGAAAGGCATTCGAGTACACACTTATGTGTGTGTGAGGGGAAAACAGGGGTAGTAGAAAACGTTTTTTGTTTCCATCTATCTCCATATTGAACTGTTTTATGTGCTTACTGTATCCACGTATGATTGTATAATTATGGAAACACGTTGATGAACAATATAAGTTATTACTTTGTATAGGACCCGTTTAAGCCCTAGAGCAGACCGGAGATCTCTCCGTTTGTTGAAAGCCTTCCCGATGTTGACTCTCGTCTTATTCCGACGACTGGCACTGGACAGACAGAAGTTGTATTTTCTTTGTCTCACGTGGAGTTTGGAATGAACTACAAGCCGGTCTCTTTGGGGCTGTTTACACCTGGCCACTTCATGCGTTTTCTCAGATCGGATAGCTATCTGATTTATCAAAACGATTCCATTACACCTGGTCACATAAATGTGTTTTTGCAAAACGGATATAATCTGATCTTCAATTCCCGCGCTATATGGCTACAGAATTCATGAAGTGCACGTCACCGAAAGCAACAGATATGAGCTGCATTTTATTAATCATCGGCTAATTTCAAAATCAGCAAAGACAGCAATAAGAGAGAGCGGCAACAGCCCTGGTAAGATCATTTCATTTCTTTACTTTCAATGAAGGTGGTAGTGTTAAGCGTCTGCGACTTACTTTCACGTTGATTTGCGGCGCGCTGGCTTTATGAATAGACGCTCAGCTGCTCATCTGAGGTGATGATGCGCGTCGTCATATATGACTAAAATAACATGACATAACCTATAGCCTGCTTTCAACAACCAGATGCATTTACACTTGTCCAGTTTTGTCTGGAATTATTTTACTGTACAGGATTATAGAGGCGATCTCAGTGATCAGAGAAGGGCTCATTCAGCCCATCAGGCGATTGTTTAAGCATGTATGGGTTAGAAAACGGCTATTTTTAACATGAAATGTTGCGCAATGCACCTTTAAACAATTGAGTTTTACAGTTTTCGAATCCATTCAGCAATTTTTTTTTTTTTTGATATTTAGAAGAATATCAGTAACCAGACAGTTTCTGGTCTCATTGACTTCCATAGTAGGAAAAAATATATACTAGTCAATGAGACCAGAAGAAACTGTCAGAAAATAAAACCCAACTGTTTAACTCTGGGGGAGTTGTAAAATGAGCCTATTTACAAAAAAAAGTGGAATATCCCTTTAAAGGAAAATAACCACCATTGACCCACCATTCTCTGCAGCATTGCCACCTTCTCTGGGAAGATCCTGATGATGTGGCGTTTGCCAAATGTACGGGACAGCAGGTAGCAGTTTGTGGAACCCACAGTTGTCAAAGTGCAGGCAATAAGGATTCCATGCCATGGCCCGAATAATGCCCCCGCCAGCATGTTCTAGACATGACAAGAAAGATTGTATGTTGTTAAACAATAATAATAATAATTGGTACATCTTTTAGTTCAGTCTACTAAGGTGGTTCAAGTAAGTCTACAAATAGTGTCACCGAGTAGACCTCTGTTACCAACCAAAAAAGATGATCCTGGAATGGCAAAGGACTGCTTGTAGAGGTAGGCACTGCAGAAGAGAATGAACACATAGCCAGTGTGCTCTGTCTTATAGAACTGCAGCAGCTCGGCTAGTTCCCTCAACTCCTCCAGATCAGATGGGAACTTCAACCTGGAGAAATTATAAGACACTCTGGGATCAGTAAAACAACACCTTTTTTTCTCTTTTCATTTCCAACAGATTGGATAGGGACCAATGACCTTCCTTTTCCTATCAACCCTTATTGAAACCAGCACTAAGGAGACTGATATACAATAGCATGAAAAGGATTCTAATTAAAGAGCCCCTATCATAGCATTTAAAATGTTCCTATTTTTGTTTTAGGAGTTCCCAAAAACAGTTTAACATGCATACAAGGATAAAAAACACTTTATCTGTCTAATAATATGCATTTATTTTTAACTGATTTGCTCACCGACTCACAAATGATTCGTACAATGACTCATTTTTCCAAACCACTCCTTTGCGTGACGCTAATCGGCGGTGATTGGTCAGATGACAGACCCAGTCAGTTATTGTTTGTTAGCATAACGCATAAACATATTGATAAAGCACTGCAGTACTACAAGACGCTCTATTCTTTATGACAACTCCAATAACAGCCACAAACATTTCACATATTTAAAAAAAAATGGACACTGAAGACCTAGAAGCTGCGCTGAGCGTAACTTACACACACACACACACACACGCACACACATACTTATTGCGCCTTCCCTCCTCGCGCCCCGACGCCACAAAACCGTTCAAAACCCATAAAAGCAACAATTATTAATAATACTTACAGGTTGTGATTCATAGGAGGAAGTTGATCCATATACACTGGGTAACTGGGTAAGTAAGTTACTGAGCCCTCCTTCAGGAACAACCGCTTGCAAATCCACATTCATTTATGTTTTTGAACGATTCGTAATTAAAATGATGAGAACACAATCGGGCTATACTGTTGTGGTATCGTTGCAAATATGAACTCTAACCACCGATTCTTCACATGCTCGTCCCTGGTAAATGAAAACAAAGTGGCTGAACTGTCTTTGCATTGTAGAACGCAGCGTCTTCTCGACATGATGCTATGATGAAGTATTTGAATGTGTAGACTTCAAGTTTACACTTCTGTCGGCGCGCGCAGTAACTGGGCGCGGCCAATATGTATCTACGTCACGGTGTAACAGCTAATGACTTGTTTCAAAAACAAATCATTTCATAGACTCAGAGTCGACTCACTTTTGAAAGACAATAACTTTATATACGGTTCACTTTCAGATATAAATCCATGCAGGGACTCTTTAATGGATTCAGGTGATACTGTGGGCTTTAGGTAGGCTATTAGGTAGGCTATGGAGCCCATAAAAGGATATGGTGATATGAAATTTTGTCAATGCCTTTGCATTCTCAACGCAATGTTTTTGTTCCCCTGAGAAAAATTGCAAGAGCACAAACGTTTTGCAAGCAAACGCAAAGTTTCTCGGGTGAACTCAACACATTTGCGAGATAACGCAAAATCATTTGCAAATAATTTTTCCTCCCATCTCCTATTTTGTTTTCCTTCACCATGTCCCTTTATGTTATGGGCTGTAGCAGAGATAGCGTGGGTGCTTGGATGCGGCCGTCTCAGGGCTCCGTGCCAATTAGGGGCCCCTCAAACGCCGCTGATCTTGTGTCACTAGGCGCGTTTCCATTACAGATTTGCGCAAAACTTTTGCGACGTTTTCCAAATGTCGATAAAAAACTATTGCAAAATGCACTCCGTATTAGGTGACTGTAAATCCGCAAAACCCGTTTCCATTGCAGTTTTGCGAAAAAAATCATTTTTCGAATTGCTTGAAAAACCTCCTCATGCAAGCGTGAAAACGGTTTTGCGATAAACGGGAGTTTTTTGCGAAATTGACGTGTTTCCATTGAGTGTATTTTCATTTCGGAATTTCAATTTGCGCAAATTGAAGGGTAGCCTAATGGAAACTCAGCTACTGACAGAAAAGGGGCCCAGGCAAAGTAGGCCTACAACCAGCAACCACATTTAGGTTGCATTTCTGCTATGGCAACGTCGCTGTATACGTGCTACGAGCACCATCACTGTCAATGAGATATCGCTGTCTTTGGTGCTGAAACATTTTTACTTGACAGGCAAACTGTTTTCTTTGTTTGTCAATACAAACTTGTAAAAAAAATGTGGCTTTTCTTTGTATTTTATTTAACATATAAGATTACTTGGCTCAACAAGTGACACATTCTTACATATACATTCATCAAATATTATATTTTACGGTTTTTTTTTTACGTTTTTAATTTTAAAATGACTTGGTAGCAGAAGGCCCCATGATGAAGCTCCGCCCCCACTGTACTGAGAGTCTAGCTCCACCCCTGGTTATGGGCTTTGTAATTTACCTTATTCAGAGCAATACCATGAGAGGTATGAAAGCGAGTTATCTTGTTTTCAATGGGATCCGCTGTAAAAAGCTGTATATGCTCCTAGATAACTTATAATTTTAATAATCACTTTGTTTTTTATGCTTTCATTCCTGATGGCGCTGCTGTAAATAAGGTCTACACAACCTAATGATCTGAAAACCTCACTGTCGCCCTCTGGTGAGACTTTTTACAAGTGTCTGATTTTTGAGTGGGAACATTCGGAGTTACAGTAAATGTAACAAACAAAATTAGACATCTTCTTTTAGGTTACATAGGAGAAATAAAGACATAGGCCTAAAGGTTGGGGGCATCATGAGTACAAGTAAATAATCCACCATTTCTACCCTTTAGTTTAGTTAAATGTTTCATTGTTCCTCACACATGAAAATTATGTCCAACTTAAAAATATATGATTAGGATATATAATTATATCAATATGATTATTTTAATGCTTTGTAAGCATCATAATAAATCACTGTATATAAATAAATTATGGAACTTCTTTTAAAAAAACTGTATAGTAGAAAACAGGCTTGAGGGTTCTTGGCTTGAAAAAGGTTGAAGACTCCTGACACTAGCCTGTCAGCAAGATGAGACAGAAAGACTGAAATGTGACACACCAACTGTAAATAGCCTCTCAGCTGTGGAAATGTGCTTGTGTGTGTGTGTGTACAGGGTTGGCTGTACTTGAGGACCAACATGTTTTAAAAGTCTTCAAACACACCTTACATAATCATCAATAAATGTGGATGTCCCACAGGCTGAAGTTCTCGTGAGGTGGTCAATGGGCAGTGCACGAATCACATCTTGTGCAGTCGTGAGAAATCTAAGCTCTCTACTGCTGTCCGGGGGGTATTTTGGGGACGCAATGAGGTAGTATTCCCCACCCATGTGCCAAAGCAGGGGTTTCAATTTCACATGCGTACCAAGTAGTGACGAATATAAACATGTGATATGCTCCATGCTGAGCGCAGACTCATCAGAACAACAATATGAGAGCCTTCAATGTAGGAGACAGACCAGACAATAAACAACACAGCTTCAATAACACTGCAAACATGTTCTTACTCAGTAATTTTGTCTTGTTTCGTAAGTCAGTCTATAAACATTTTTTCCTATTAAAGTTTATTTTTCTTACCCCACTGGCAGATATTTTTCTTTCTTGTTTTTAGCTATAAACTCAAATTGGAATATATACTATATATATATATATATATATATATATATATAGAGAGAGAGAGAGAGAGAGAGAGAGAGAGAGAGAGAGAGAGAGAGTTTATATTTTATAGAGTTTATAGAGATTAAGTGATATTATTTCTCAAGTAAATGTATGTTGATTTGATTAAGAAATGTGTAGATAATTGTACTGGTAAACAGGACAAAAACACACAAAAAAAGATCAAAACAAATTTAAACTCTACTTTTAAAAGCCCTGCCCTGTTCAACAAATTAAAATACAGTCTTAAAAACAGTTTAGTTTTATAGCTTTAATGAGGCATAAAATATCCCTTCTCTGATAACCATGGAAATTCCCCACCCAAAGACTCAAACAGCTATTTACACCACTGGGGCTTTCACTGGCTCAGCTGTCTATGCCATCACTGCTGAACAACATGTTACAAACTCCATCTCAATCTCATCAGCGGAGATTCTCCCAGGGTAAAGAAGAGTGAGCTAATCAAGAAATGAACGTGTGGGTCACAAGACACTATGAAAAGGTCACTATGTGATGATGGTGGACATACAGCAGATCCATTACTCGATATCGAACTCAGTTGTCCTTTCCCTCTGTTTTTGTCATCTAAATATCTGAATGACTTCAGAAAATGACATTAAATCATGGTGCTTTTGAGACCTCGCCTCTCCTTTTATTTATAATACACTTTATTTTAGCTAGTCATACCAAACATACATGTTGCATTATGAACCCTCCAGATATCTCTTTCTTTCCCTCCTTATTGGCATTGCACATCTCAGCAAATTCAGGGGATTTCAAGACACTCCAGAAGGCAGTTGTCTGATCTTATAACTGTCACATCATGCCCTCTGCCAGGCCCCAATCCTGAGATAAGACTGCTCATGTTGAGTTTCATTCAAAGCCGACAAGGTAATAGATAATTTTAAATAATAGTTTAATACAAAGTTGAATTTTCATGTATTTTTTTTTTGTTATTACATTATTATTATTTTATTTTATTGTTTTTCTATCGGAGACATCCAATAGATTTCTTAGCTGCGCCAAAAGAACACCACAGACAGTGTAATCACCATGGGAAAATCTCAGAGTAAAATTGGGAGTTAGTGTTCTTTAGCGAGGATGCTCAGGCTGACGTTCCCCAGGGCTCTGGTCCCACTGCTGCCGAGGCACAGCGGCGATCACAGACATGGGGTTCGCAAATGGATCTATCAGCGGGGTTAGAGACGGCCCAGCCTTATCTCTGCCTTCACCTGATAGATCCAGTGCCTTTGCTCAGGGTTTGGAAGCACGCACTGGGGTTTCTTCCACCCCTATTGAGGCACAGACTGCATCTATCTAGTTCTTTGGAACTAGACGTTGTCAGTGTCGATGCAAGAGATTCTGAGGATTCGCCACCTCAGTCTCATGCATTTGAAGAGCTGGTTGAGGTTGTGACAAGAGCGGTTGAAAGACTGAGTATTGACTGGCCAGCAGATAAACAGGACGTTTGTTTCAAAAGTAAACTGGACGAACGCTTCCTAACGTCACGGTCACGACTTCAACACAATTTTTTCCCTGATCTACACACAGAGGTGTCGAGATTGTGGGAGAAACTGGTTTAGTATAGTGTATTACACAAACACCCAGTTATTCCTCTATATCTAAATATAAAGAGAGCACAGTTATGGGGAAATGCCAAAAGTGGAAGAGACGTTTGCGAGCTATCTCTTCCCCGAATTACCCACTAGTATTACCCACTAACCCAGTCAGAACCACATCATCATCATCATGTTTAAAGCTTAATCATCCACTGGTCAAGCTGCAGCAACCCTTCACACATTAGGGACTTTAAGCAACAGCTGTTGATAGAACAGCAATGGCAGCCGGAAGTAAAGAGTTAACTGCCATAGCTAAAGAGCGCAAACATCACTAAGCAACAGTAAAGAGGACGGCATAGGGGATAATTTAATCATAAGACTAAATACAAAAAAAAGCGCTCTTTGAACTTGAACTCTACACCAGGGTCCCAGGTGCTCTCGTCCTAGTCGCTATGGTGGCGTTGGATATTCCCTTAGCGTCAATTGACGCAGCGCGAGTTCCCTTGGGAGGCCTAAACGCTAGCCAAAGTATGGCAGGAAAAAATGGATGCGGTGTTAATTGTTAATTGTGTTAATTTTTTATTAAAAAAATAAATGAATACAATTTAAAATTGTAAATATCTGAGACCCATTCGCAATTAATAAGAACTGACCAGTGATGAGGCTCTTTAGTTCCCTTTCGTAGTCACTCCGAGTTACGTCGGAATGACGGAGAATGGGGGTTTCGCAAAGAAAGCCAATACTCTTCGAGTATTTAAAAATGAGCCAATGGCATGAAAATGCCTTGGGTCTGCGGAATTTGCATAGCGTATCTCCGCCCCACCTAGTGGGTATAAAAGGAGGAAGTGAACGCAACCGCAGTATGTTTTCGCTTCGGAGCCAAGAGACTTCTTCACTCCACAAGCCATTTTCACTGGCTTCTCACAAACCTTCTCTCTTTTTACATGTCCATCTCTCTCTCAGTCACTCTAATTATCTCTTATTCTTCTTCTCTTTGAACTGAGATGAGGGTGTATTAAAATGAATAAACCAATACTTAGTCAAACAGACATAGGAAAATAAGGTATAATGTGAAATGAATAAAGACAGAGAGAACTAATAACAAAAGAAAGAGGGAGAGAGATAGTTACTTCACAGGTGAAAGGGGGCATCACAAACTGAACTGTACAGGGGAAGATGCTTCCCTAAAGATTATTATATTATTAGTGAAAAATATTTTATTGGTGGAAATAACTGGAATCATTTTACAATTTAGTAGCACAAAATTATAAAAAGGGCTATATTACTCCATTACAGGGGTGTATACCCCTCTACCTGGGGAAAGACCACCCAGAACAACCTCACCCTATGTTATCTGATTTTAGAATATGTAAAATCAAAAATCATGTAACATATAATGTGCTTTTTGATATTGTATTTGAATAATTAAATAAATGACAGAACATTTTTCAACAAGTTGCTGAATCCAAAAAAATAGGCCTACATCTGCAAGGTTAACTTATTCTATAAATTGTATACAGGGTGGGCCAACAATTTTTAATGTTGGGTTGTCATGTGCAAGTAAGCTTGAATTATTCCACTCAACATGACTATGTTATGATTAATGAGATGTTTGAAATGTTAATAATATTATTAATCATTGCATTAATAATGTTAATGTCAATAAGAAATAACACAATGCGTTTTAATAATTAGTAAGAAATAGTTAATAACAATCTGTCCCAATTGTGAGGGGTTACTTCTCACTTCAAAATAAAAACAATATTTTATACAAATTAAATTCTTTTCGAAATTTGAACGATCGAGTCCGAATCATGAGATAATCGTTTAGACCACAGACAGTAAAAGGTTTAGACTGCACTTGTGATTCACAAAAGATTCGTAAATGAACATGACTCAGTACTGAGTCACATTTCAAGCAGATTCCTTTCACAAAAGGTGAACCAGTTCAACCATTGATCGAAGGATCCGACTAAAAAAATAGCAAATTATTATTCAATAATTATAGGTTTAGCATCACCACATTTTCGGTGTACATTCATTGTAAACTATGATAGGCCTACACCTACTCAGGTGAGGTTTTTCGTACTAGCCTACCAAAATCATTTAGTATTTTGACATTGTTATTATCAGCATTTGTTATTTGTTATTCCATATGCAAGCTATGGAAACAAATTAAAGATGTTAACATTCAGTTGTGAGTTAAAACACAGACACAATCAATCAATTAGCCTACCATTTGACACAATAGAGAATTTAACAGAATTCATTCAGCTAGTAGAAGTGGGGACTGCACACAAAATAAGGCAAACAGAGATAGCCTATGAGATAGGGGAGACCAGGGACAGTTGTAACACTTTTTGCAATTTTTAGCAATACATCAAAAACCATTTATACTGGAATATCCAATTTGTTATATTACAAACTTCAATCAGTCTACTGCTGAAACAATGTATTAAAGTGGTTTTATGAAATATGTATAGGTTGCAAAATTAATTTCAATATAGTATCTCCACTGTTACAACCGTCCCAGTGTACAGGGACGGTTGTAACATGTCTAAAATATAGGCTACATAATGAATTAAATGATATAACCTACTCAAAATGGAAAATATTATGTATCAGTCATGTTATTGTGACTATTAATTTATCCAGTATCCAACTCTGGGAAGTGTCTTTGATCCCTGACTCCTCTTCTTGTGGAATCGGTGCAGGGTCACATGGCAAATGCCATATGATGACATTTTACATTTAATTTGCTATGCACAATGCACATTTTACTTTTAATTTGCACATTAAATGGAAACTATGCAGTTTTTTTTAAACTTAATTAGTTTTTAAAATATAAACGAAACTTGGTTGGTGATACAGGGACAGTTGTAACGGGGCGTTACAACCGTCCCAGTATCACCAACCATGTTTTCATCTCATGTGAGCTAGCTTGACTGCTAGTTTGACACTTGTTAGCCATTTCTATTTTTAGCTGAAAAAACAGTGATTCTAATAATACTTGTTTGAATTAATAAAATTTTTATTTTATAACAGCATCCAAAAAAGTACATCAGAAAGAAAAGTATTTTTTTTACCTCAAAAACAACCTTTTATTGATAACTCTGCCAGAAAGTTTCAACTGTAGCTCCCTTTTGGAAAAAAATGGTGGGAAACTACCTGAGCATGAGCAGAGTGAGTCTCATCACTCTAGGTTGTTTCTGATTGGAGGAATTCAAAGTGTTACAACCGTCCCTTGTTACAACTGTCCCTGGTCTCCCCTACGTGAGATAGCCTATTATTCTACCTGAGTATTTCCTCCTCCGGCTCATCGTCATGGACTGTGTGTTCAGGTTCACCGTCGTGAACGCGGACGGCACGAGGACCCGGCGGCAGGAACGCAGACAGCAGATACAAGTAAAAAGTGGCTGTGGCCACCAAGGCGATTAAACCCCAGATTGAGCGCATACTCCAGTCCTGGATCTGTCAAAGACGACTTTGCTGCACTTGCTGTTACACCTGTTAAATAGCAGGTCCGGTCAGGGGGCAGTTTATACATGTTACGTCTCCAACCCATGGAAGTTGGCTACGTGGACCTATGTATTGCAACAATGTGCGTGAGTGAAGCCCCTCATGAGGGTGGATCTATTTGTCACATGAGACCCCCAAAAACAGGAGACCATGTGTGATAGGAACAAAACTTTGGAAAACACCAACTCCGTATGATTTGAGCCAATTTTAAACTAGGCTACATTATCTAACACATGCTATTATTAGAGGCTATTGGTGTTTATTTTCCCTTACAAGCAAAGCAAGTAGGGCCTAGTCTTTTTTATTTTATTATCTTTTTTTAAATTTATTGTTGTAAGGTTTAGAAGTGGAGTTCATATTTCATAATTGAAAGTGGTAATGCTCAGAATTTAATATTAGGCCCTATGTTTGCAAAATATATAGCATAAATAAAGCTTAAAAGTATTAAAAATACACTCTAAAAAATGCTGGGTTATTTAATCAACCCAACCGCTGGGTTATGAAATGTTTGACCCATTATGGGTTATGTATATGGATTTTGACTCAACACATGAGTTGGAAAAAATAACCCATCTACCCAACATACACCGTTGACCCAGCACGTGGGTTGTTTGTGCTTCGAACGTCATCACATCATCACAAGAAGAGTCCACCATACCCGGATCCACCACACACCGAGCGATCTTCAAAGAGAACTTCACTTTTCATCGAGCGAGGGAAATAAACTAAGGTAGAGTACTCTACATGTCATTTCTAATATATAAGACATATATTTTAACAACTAAGTTATAAGCTGGGTTGGTCGGAAGAGGGTGAGGCAAAGATGACACGTATTGATGTAATGGCCGTGAAGTGTTTATTTATAGAAATTGCGGTAAACGGTCTAACTTAGTGTCCGGAATACAGTGAGTCTACTTTAACTTAACGTTACCTTTCTAAAGTAATATCTTTATATTGTCGAGGCTAGTTTGTCTGGCTTGTTTGGCTAGCGTTAGCCATTGAGCCGTTATCATTGAAGCAAGCTGCTAGCTATTTTGAGCGCGCTATTTTTTCCCTGGAGCATTTAATGTGAACACAGTGTTAGACTGATTAAAGTATGTATAAACAGTGAGATAACCTGATATGCCAGACTAAATGCATGTATGTGCATTTATTTAAGTAATATGGTGACCCGCGATAGATAAGAAAACATTTCTTATATAAAATGGCGGCCTGGCTAGCAGGCTAACTTACATTATTTTAAGTTAACTGGATATAAATGAGCGCGCTTTTTTGCCCTCAAAGCTTTTAATGTGAAATGCGAAGGTATAACACAGTGTTAGACTTATTAAAGTATGTAAAAACATTGAAGTAACATAAAATGTCTGAATGTAAAATACATGTAATTTGAATTGTATAGGGAGAGAGGGTCTCTCTATATTTTGGCTGTTATCTTCACATTGGATTACATTCTGCTGCTAGTCTGCATTGCATTTGCATGGTGACATCTGAATAGTTAATACAATAGTAATTGTATATTACTTTAACCTCATTTTGTGTTTGTTTCAGATCAGGTCAGCTTTGTCATTGACACAACAGAGTGGCAGCTGACAGACCTTGTTGAAAGATTTCAAGGTAAGAAATATTTGTTTTCACATCCACAGCATATCAAGTCTGCATTGCTACTCAAGCCCTTTTCAGACATTAATTCTTATGAAATATAATTTTCTCTTTTTTTTTCAATAGCTTCCATGTAATGTGTCAAAGTGACTCCAATAGATGAATAGGGCACATGTCTTTTGTAGACTTTCAGTGATTTATTCTATTTTGTAATAACAAATGATGGAATATGCATATCTTCCATTTAATTACCTATATATTTTAGTTTTGTACTCCTCAGTTGTAAAAACAGATTTCTTTGTGTTTTGTATTTTTTTGTCTTTTAGAGGAGGGGACTGATGAGGAGAGTTTTCTTCTTTTAGATGAGGCTACCATCAACAGTTGATCCCAAGAGCTGGCCCTGGGCTGAAGTTCTTCAAAAAATTAGAGGACTTGTAAGATCAACATTAGAGGCACACACAGTTATTATTTCTAAATATTAAAAGGGATAGTTTACTTTGAAATACATTTTCGATATGTTTTAGCTTACCTCAAGGGCATCCAAGATGTAGGTGTCTTTGTTTCCAAAGTATTTTCAATTTTGTTTTGTTTTTTCGGTTAAACCGTTGGCGTTGTTGTCTATCAGTCATACACTGGAGGTTTAGGGGGTCCTCCCTCGGTTCACCTCAAAGAGCATGCACAGAGAAGTCAAAATTAAACATGATTTAATGACTCGTAAATGTAAGTACACATTGATGGCCTAAGACAATAAACGAGCGGTTTGTGTGAGAAAACGAACAGTATTTATATAGTTTTTTACCTCGTGTAACTCAGCCATTGGCAACTGATCTGACAGCAGAGGCGTTTCAGTCTGTGTATGCGCCGGAAGTGACGTCACTCATTGTTTACACAGAGTTTCGGAAGTTTTACCTTTCACTGTGAAGATCTAAACATATTTATATATACAGGAAATCGCAATGGAAGATTTCGATATATCTAAATGTTTAGTAAAAGGTTAAACTCCCGAAATCTCTGTGTAAACAATGAGTGACGTACACACGCAAGCGATCACTTCTGGCGCATGCACAGACTGAAGCGCCCCTGCCGTCAGATCAGTTGCCAATGGCTGAGTTACACGAGGTAAAAACGATATAAATACTGTTCGTTTTCTCACACAAACCGCTCGTTTCGTGTCTTAGGCCTTCACTGCGTACTTACATTTACGAGTCATTCAATCATGTTTAATTTGGACTTCTCTGTGCATGCTCTTTGACATGAACTGAGGGAGGACCCCCTAAACCTCCATTATATGACTGATTGACAACAATGGTTTGCCCGAAAAATATCAAAATTGAAAATACTGTGGAAACAAAGACACCTACATCTTGGATGCCCTTGAGGTAAGATAAAACATATCAAAAATTAAATTCAAAGTGAACTATCCCTTTAATAGTTTCTTTGGGAAGATACCAGAATACTAGCTAATGGCTCCCGTTGACTGTTGGCCTGTTAAATGTTCAGCCAGTTCATTCATAATTGAATGTTTTCCTACTTCAGTGATATTAACTGCAGTTCCACTAATATTGTTGATATTAAAGTAATAAAATAATTTTTCAAAGACTCCATTGTTGTTTTGTTTTTGTATTGTTTAAGTGTTTATTGCATAATCTACGCATACATATAGCATGTATTCTGTTCTAGATTTGTAGTGTAACTGTTTTATAGTTATGAGTAGTCAATTGCCTTTTATTTTCTTAAATTGTACTGTAATGTGCTAGAATTAGTCTGGCATATGGGTTAATTTGACCCAGCATTTGGGTACACTATATAACAAATATGTAGTTGAATCAACCCAGAATTGTAATTAATTTGACCCAGCATTTGGGTACGCTATATAACAAATTTGTAGTTAAATCAACCCAGAATTTTATTTAATTTGACCCAGCATTTGAGTAGAAATGAACAACTCATCTGTTGGGTTAAAAATGACCGACCCATCTTGCTGGGTCAAATTAACTACTGTTGGGCTGGTGCAATATTGATCCAGCGGTTGGGTTATAAAATAACCCAAGTTGGGTTATTTTTAACCCATCATTTTTTAGAGTGTATAAGACTAAATTTGTCTGAACACTGTAAATAGGAAACATAATTGAGTGTAGATATTGTGGCAAGGAACATCTTCAAGCAGTGGTTTGTGAGTGGTCTGAACACACTTTGGCTGTGTGGAAAATGTTTTACCCAAATAAAGTGAAAGATTAATTTGAGAAAAGGGATCTTATGCTCATTACAAGGTCTTTCTTTAAGTATGGGCATATGACAGTCTTTTTTCTTTTTTAAACAGTTTTATATTACACTATGAGGCAATAAACACGTATTTCAATATAAGACTGCAAAA